AAAGGAAGAATCCTTGAAGTTGGTAAAGTTACTCGCCATGTAGCATTGTGATGAGATGCCCTTGAAGTTTCCTGTTTTCTGATAGTAAGTTATTGTTTAAAAATTAGGAATCGATGGAACGTCATAGAGAAGAAAAGGAAGCCAGAAGTGCTGCAGAGAAGATGCAAGTTTCTCTTTCAACTGAGCTTGAGAAAGTCAAGCAAGAGAAATTAGAGGCTGAGCAAAGGGTGCTGTCAAATTCTAAATTATAATCCAGACAGGAAAATTTGACCAGTTGAACATTGAATCTTAAATCAACTTATACAAATATAAAGATATCGTTCTCTTGGTATTTTCTGCACAGACTTTAAGCTGATCATTCTACTGTTACATTGGCATTTGCAGGCCAAATCGAATGAGCTTTTGTACAGTTGTTCAAAAGAGTATAATATGGACCTGCAGCGCTACAATAGTCGACTCCAGTCGGATCTTCAATCGGCTAATGAATCACTTAAAGAACTGGAAAAGGAGAAAACAGCCATTGTTCAAAACCTTAGCGATGTGAGAGGTCACAATAAAATATTGCAGGATCAGCTGGCATCTGTTAAAGTAAGTCATTCTAATTTGATATATGCTTTAGTATGCTTTTGATTGTTTTCCTTGCACAATGCTTTGTCATTTAAGCTTTCTCATTTCGGAATTTTCCTTTCCATGTTGAGAATGTTTTAAGTAAAGTGATGTGTGTTGTGAACATGTTGGAACTTACACTGTCCATTTTTCATGGGCATTGACCCATTCTTCATGCATTCTCTTGAATTCGAACTTGTTATAAGTAGTTCGGAAGAAACAGGAAATGCAGATAATTTGGACAACAATCTAGGAGTAATTATAAACCCCTATAGCCACTATAAGTATCTTTACAGCCTGTTCATCTTATGTTGTTTTTTCCTCCTGTTGTTATCTCTGTTTCTTAGGCTTCGCGTGATGAGGCTACGAAACAAAAAGATTCACTAGCACACGAGCTCAGTTGTCTCCGTGAAGAATTAAAACAAATTAGAGATGATCGTGATCGGCAACAAGGACAAATACAGGCTTTAACTGGAGAAGTAGCATACTACAAAGAATATACGGGGAATTCATGTGCACAATTGGATAGCTTGACAAGTAAAATAAAGGACCTCGAGGTTTGTTTTGTTTTTCTCAACACTGTGTTGTTATTATGGTTCTTGTTATATATATATATATATATATATATATATATATTGTGAGATTCCTATGTTTCTTCGGATTAAGATAGTGGGCTTTCTTTTATAGGACACATGTTCTTTTCAGAGGGACCAAATAAATAGATTACAACATCAACTGACTGCTGAAAAAGAGAAATTGAAGGTAAGAAAATGAGTGTTTTTACCCCTAAATTGTTGAAACAGTCTCTTAATTTCTTGAAAATTTCCCTGGAAATAACTGGGAAAATTATTGCACGCTTATAGTGTTCATTGCATGTATGATGTGATAAATTGAATTGACACTGACACATATTTTCTCTGTTAGATGGCCGACCTATCGGCTTTAGAAACAAGAACGAGTTTTGAAGAGCAGCAAAGAATTATCTGTGAACTGCAGGATCGTCTGGCTGATAAAGAATTCCAAGTAATTGAAGGAGAGAAATTAAGGAAAAAGTTGCACAACACTATCCTTGTAATACTCCTTTACTCTGTAATGCAGAAAGTTCCTTTCTAATACATCAATAATAATTAAGTCCCTCCCACTTGTTATTAGGAGCTAAAAGGGAACATTCGTGTGTTTTGTCGAGTTCGACCTTTGCTACCAGAAGACGGTGTCGGAACAAACATGGTTGTTTCCTACCCTGCATCAACAGAAGCTCTTGGCCGAGGCATTGAATTGGTCCAAAACGGTAAAATTGCATACCTTTGCGCTTTTTTTCTGTTACTGCTTTCTCTTGAGAGTTTCATGAGTTTTATGCCTTCTGAAATACGACACGGGAAGTTAAGCGTAATTTCATCCTTTGATATACATCAGGGCAAAAGTACCCTTTTACATTTGATAAGGTCTTCAATCATGACGCTTCTCAGCAAGACGTTTTCATTGAGATATCGCAGTTGGTACAAAGTGCGCTTGATGGGTACAAGGTGATTTAAGTGATGTTAAATTGTCTATTGTTAATTATTTTTCAAGCAGAACTTACATATTTAAATAGAACTTTTGAATCTATTCATCTATAGCTAGATTTCGTGAGTAATCCATGCAGAGACATGTGAACACAAATGTATTTGTAAAGCTGCAATTGTTATTACTCTTCAGAATTTGGCACCATTTGTTTTGAATAAAACTATTATTTTCTTATCCCTTAGCTCATCTTTCTGAACAAGATCTTACTCGTCGCTTCGACTCTCTTGGTGTTCTCGCATGGATTACTCACGCAATCTAGTTATATTCTTGGTTTTTGGCATACTAAACTTTCCCAAGTCGGATAGGAAGGGAAAGGATTGCGTTATTAGATGCTATTGCTAGCTTACCTTCTTCACTGGGGCATTTCTTTATCTTCTCTTGCTTTTTAATGTTACGTATTTATGTACACTAGATATGCTTTGACAGAGGGAATTTGGCTTGCCCTGTCAGGTTTGCATATTTGCTTATGGTCAGACAGGTTCAGGCAAAACATACACAATGATGGGTAGGCCTAATGCTCCAGATCTGAAAGGACTGATCCCACGTTCTCTAGAACAGATCTTCCAAACTAGTCAAGCCCTTAAGGACCAGGGTTGGTCATACAAAATGCAGGTTAAAATATTTTATTCTGATTTTCATGTGGTTATACTTACATCCATCAACTAAAATTCGTAGTTTGCTAATTATTCTAGGCTTCAGTACTTGAAATATATAATGAAACAATTCGAGATTTGTTGGCGTCGAATCGGCCAAGCGGAACCGATCTAACTCGAACAGAAAATGGTGTTCCTGGGAAGCACTACACTATTAAACATGACGCGAATGGAAACACAGAAGTTTCCGACCTCACTATTGTAGACGTTTGTAGCGTGAAGGAGATTTCCTCTCTCCTGCAACAGGCTGCAAATTGCAGGTACTAGTTTATAATGTGGGATGCCTAAGGTGCTTTCTATGTGCATGGTGAAGTTGTGATTGAATAAACTTTCTAGCTAATGAACAAAAGAATGGCATTTTTTCCCACTTGGAATTTGGATGAAAATCATAATTATTTATTGTACTGGTCCAGATTTAACCAGCAAGTCTCTTGATACTAAAAAGTTTCATTTTCTTTAAAAAAAAATTATTTGATTTAGTTAAACTTAATCTTTCATATTTAATGTATAACCATTTATTCTTGGTCTCTGTAATAATGAAATGGGATTCCTTTTGTTGTACCAGGTCGGTAGGAAGAACACAGATGAATGAACAATCATCAAGAAGCCATTTTGTTTTTACTTTGCGTATAACTGGGGTTAATGAGGTATATACTGTTGTGATATGCTTTGCACAATGATTTAAATAGTATTGCTCTCTCTTATTTAGATGCTGGATGCACTAATGTCCTTTACGATGTAGAATACTGAACAACAAGTGCACGGCGTCTTGAATCTGATTGATCTAGCTGGAAGCGAAAGACTATCGAAAAGTGGGGCAACTGGGGACCGACTAAAGGAAACTCAGGTGTGCATTGCTTTGCATAACATGAACTTCAGATCATCATGAATTACTCTATTTTCTTAAATAAATGAATCGGTGATGATATGTTTGCGTTATTTCTAGGCTATCAACAAAAGTTTATCGTCTTTGAGTGATGTCATGTTTGCTTTGGCCAAGAAAGATGAGCATATTCCTTTTAGGAACTCTAAACTGACGTATCTTCTTCAGGTATGTTTCACGATAATATTGCTAATGATCTATTCGTATTACTCTTCGTATGGACCTTTGCCTCAAGCCCGCAACGTGCTATTCTCTCTCAACTACTCACGTTTAATCTAGAGCTAAGGAGGAAAAAATTAAGTGAGATTAATGATATCAATCAATATTTTATCCAACAATAAGGAGTTTTCCTGCGATACGTATCACTTATCCCACAAGGTCTCCGCCTGAATTTCTTGTTTCTTGTAGTGATGATACCCTCCATCCTTGTATTGAACATTGTTTTGTTTCCGTTCATGGCAGCCATGTCTTGGTGGAGATTCCAAAACGTTGATGTTTGTCAATGTTTCGCCCGACCCTTCTTCGGCTGGGGAGTCCCTTTGTTCTCTCCGTTTTGCTTCCAAAGTGAATGCATGTGAAATTGGTATTCCAAGGCGTCAGACATCGTCCAAGTCCTTTGATTCTCGGATGAGCTATGGGTGAAGCGTCGGTCCCCCCATTGACCAGAACAAGTTGTTATCTGTGCTGTAAAGAGGAATTGACAAGTTTAACCTCAATTTGACTATTGTACTAATGGAGTAGAAGGGTGGAAGAACAAATTGTTCTTTATACTGTGATAACCATGAACGCACATAATTTATAGAATTACATCTGTACTTGTAGACTGGAGAGGCTTGGCTATAGCTTCTAGCAATGATGTGTATTATTCATCGTTGATATTGGTCAATTTACCTGGGCAGCGTGTTGGTTTTAATAGTTGTAGTTGACAACTAAATTTAAATGGGTTAAGTTTATTGTTGACATTTTTTTTTTTGGACGGGGGTGGTGAAAGACTGGAGGTGTTCGGCGATCTTGGCTAAATGGTTTGGCAAAGATTGGCCCAATATGAAATAGAATAGCTAGATCATATTTTTATATCCCTGGATAGGGTGATTGTTTTTCAAAGTAATCCTTGACACTAATTAAAATTCTGAGTTATTTTTTTTAATCTTCTTCCTCTATATTGTCCATACTCATCTTCTAGATTTTCATAATTTATTTTTTTGGTCATATTCCAAACACCTAAAAGAAACGAGTGTTAAAAAAAATAATTTAGAGAAATTTTAATTTCAACCAAGAGCTACGAACCATCATTGAAGTTCTAGAATTTCAAGATCTTTAACTATCATTAACGTTTTTAGATGGTTTATAAATGTCATTTCCCCAAAAACATGTTGGGAAATATGAACTCACTTAGTATAGAGAAGATAAAAGTGAACCGGCTCTACCTTTGCTAATAGCTCTCAAAAAACAATCATGAAAATCCAACAATACATGACACGCCATATATTGACAATTGACAAGCAGGATTGGTCTTCCTGATTACAAAGATGCATCTTACAGGCTCGTGATACAATCGGCACCAAATTCTGTCAAAAGTACTCCCCATTATAAGCAGCTTTCGGATGCCATGGAGGAAACAACTATGTCCTAGCCGGGAGGGTGAATGCCCAAATTAGAGAGGTCCAGACTCCAGACTCCGGCAAATGCAAAACTACAAGACATTGGCATTTCTTCATAATCTGACTGCTATTAAACAGTCTGATTTAACATCGTTGGGAGTGGTTAAGAAGTGAGGAAGCATCCATGTCATACCAATGGCTGGCTCCAAGGCACCTGTTTTTCAGAAGGAACAAAGTGCATGCATTCCTTATTGCGACTCGCATGCGACCATGCAGAGAGACCTCCATCTAACAACGGATCTGAATAATCATCACAAAGGCAAGCCCAGAAGGTAGAAGGAACACTACACTATTTCAAATGACAGGTTGAAAATGGCCATTAGGACTATTATTCGGGCCCCAAGTTTAGAGAACCATCCTTCATCAGTTTCAAGCTCAGGCTGTTGAATCTTCCTCTTGAGTAATGCCGAGATGCTTTTCTCCAATCTGTTCCAGTTTTCATCATGGCCACAAATTCATCATAGCTGATACGTCCATCCTGTGATTGAACAGGAATGTCAGCGCGTAGGATTATATTAGCAAGGTTAAAATAAAAGAAAAACTACCAAATATCCACCTTGTCTGTGTCTACTTCTTGGAAAATGTCGTTTGCTACGTCTGTGCAATCATTTTCGCCATCTTCCATCAAAGCATTCCTAAGCTCATCTGGTTCAATATACCCATTCCCATCCTTGTCGAAATAGGAGAAGGCCTTGTGAAGATGCTCATCATTAGCCATCCGCTTTAAATGAAGGGAAACAGCAACAAATTCTCCGTAGTCTAGTCTTCCCTTCAGATTAGTATCTACCTGTTGTCGATCAACATTGCTATAACAGACTAAACAACAATGCTGTACAGCTTGAATATTCATACAATCATATCTTAGCATGCTTGAAATATTTAACTTGCCTTATGAAAGGCAAAATCTACAATGTCACAAACTTAGCCAATATAGGAAACGAAACACTTCATATTGAAATTATAGTCCTGTCATATCTTCTACCGGACACTTGAGTCCTAAAATGTCCAAACTGTATCTTCTCAATGAGAATGTCATTTCTACAGGAAGAGCAGATCTCCATTGGCATAGAATGATGCAGTCAAAATAAACATACCAAAGGTGAAAAAGATTGAAAAAAATGCAGTTCTGCAGTGGCTACAAAAGAAGGCCTCATTTAATAAAGATATATCCCTGAACAACGAGTTTCCAGATTGATATGATTTTTAGAAAATATTATATATGACAAAAATACTATATAGTGAATCTCATGCAGCTCGACTCTCATTTCCATGTTTAGTGTATTAACAATTCTTAACAGTTCCTACTTCCTAAGTCCTAAGACAATAACTAGTGAAATTGATGTTACATGTGGAAACTTCATAATTTATGCAAGTATTGGAGTGAAAAAAGAAAAGTTGATCATACAGCTTCAATAAGCATCTGAATTTCAGAGTCAGCAAGTTGGGATCCAAAGTTGAGGAGTCCAGCCTTTAGTTCGTCAATGGAAACAATACCGTCATTATCACTGTCCATCTTTTTGAACATTTCCTTGATGTCTTCAACTTCTTCAGTGGATAAGAATTCAGCAATGACCTGTTTAAAATATAGTAGCTCAGATCCAACTTACAGGGGATATTACATTAAAACTACAGGCTAAAAATATCAGCAGACGCAGATAACCAACCCTAAGTGCTTTTCGTTTGAATCTGTTCATCATTGAAAACTGCTTCAGCCTTGACTTCACAACATCACCCAGAGGAACATTAGGAGCCTTCTTAGCATTTTGGAGCCAAGGATGCTCTACAAACATGGAAAAGAAAAATACACTTAAACATGCATTTTATTGGGCAACAGGCTAAGACTTGCTATAGAACTCAACAGAAAAGTACTAGATTGAACATCATTTCAGAGTTTAGGAGACAGTCAATAGTTACGACTCTACATGCCCATTGCCCAACCCAGTACAAATCTTGTAGCAGGGCGACATCAATGCAAGAACCAAAAATCTTCGTATAGCAATTAATATGGTTCTCCCAGTAACTGCTGAACTCATTCGCATAGCAATTAATTATCATCTGTGAGATTCTCACATCACTATTTCAAGGCTTCAAGTTTGCCTCAATTATAGATTTGGTCCCTAAAGTTTAACTTTTATTAATCAAGTCCCTAAAGTTTCATATACAATTCCATATTCTTTTGTCATATCATCCAACTAGCAATTTTTTCTGCAATTTAAGAAAAGGTTGTCATTCTTGAGTTAGAAGGTTACATCTCCTGGGTCAAGGATTAATTGTTGCATGGTTATAAAAACTCTGGGGATTTGATTGATAAAAATTAAACTTCAGGGACCAAAACAATAGCTGAGGCAACCTTGAGAAACCAAAAGTTTCATTATCCCTAATAATTTCTTGCTCCACATCTCATGTCATTCTTTATGTCCCCTCCAAACATTTACTTTCTTCTCCCCTCAAGGGTTAGATAAAAGTTTGAGCTTGACAAGAATATGAATAATATTCAAGCAAAGGAACCTAATATTTTAATGATTAAGAAACACAAATTTGTCTCTATTCTGGTACTGTCATTACTTGTACTGAGCTTAAAAGTTCAATCATGATATAAAATTCCAAAAAGTCGACCAACGGACATAAATGGAAACTCCAGCCTAGATGAGAAAACAAGTGAAGGCATCCATAGATATATCAGTTACCACCTCATAACTGCAAAGCAACACAACTCAGCAAAGGGAAGCAGGTCTTACGGGTAACTTTGCTGTTAATTTTAGATTAAGATATAATTAGCAAGAGAGAAGAAACATACCAAGCACCTGCTTAGCAGTTAACCGAAGCTTAGGGTCTGGTTCTAACATTTGTCTAACAAGACTTTTAGCACTCTCTGAAATACTGGGCCAAGGCTCCCGTTTAAAGTCTATGAGCCCCCGAAGAATGGCCTGTGCAACGCCTTGCTCAGATTCTGCACATTAGAATTAACTACAAGTTTAGGTCTATGGTTTACTTGGAACCTGAGGGAATAATGCAACTGCAGACCCCAGAAACACCCTGCTATAATATTAGATGAGTAATTTACATATGAACCATTTAGAATACAATATGCATTCCCATATAGTGCTACATAGATCCAGAGCCATACTGGAACTGTGACATAAGCATGCAAGCATTGATTCAGAAGAACTGAAATGAATGTCCTTACACAGAGAGAAGAGCTTGCAGAAAGGTCAAGCTAAAATTTTAACGATTTGGAATGTAATTACCAGCCCAAAATGGGGGAACACCACACAATAAGATATAGAGAATTACTCCTGCGCTCCATATATCTATTTCTGGCCCATAGTTACGCTTGAGCACCTCTGGAGCCATATAATATGGACTTCCAACAATCTCTGAGAACCTCTCACCTGATAATTCAAATATACCAAAAACATAAGCTCCTAGAAATTAGAAAAAGAAAAGCCAAGGTGCCATAAGAAATGACCCCAAAAAATAATAATAATAATAATAATAATAATAATAATATTGGATATGATCTAGTACTTAGCTTACAGTTTATGATGTCAATATCTTAAAACACTATACCACATTTGTGGTCAAGGGGATGCACAGTTGAAAGCAGAATATGAAACAAAGATGCCATTTGGTTTCTTAATAAGTGCTTTTCTAACTTTAGATCATGAGAAAATAAATAAGGCTCGTTTTGTTATTTGTACCTGTGGGCAGACTGCACGCATAAAACTAAATAAGGTGATTTCATTGCCGCTAATCTTATAATTGCCGATTTGAGTCACTTGTGGCAGCATACTGCCACTGCAACAGTAACAATGCCTACTCGCATGGTAATTATGTGACTACCAACCATAAGGTATGCTTTTTTTCACTGTCACATATCAGCACTAAGATCTGGGATGCAACCATGCTTCCTATTTGGTTTCGCAATAACTTATGTTAGGGTATCAAAAATTAGTGATCTCAAGAGACAATGTTCAAAAAGCCATAAGAACATGTTGTCCTTCCATGAGAAGGAATGCTTCTTGTTAGCCAGAACAAGGCGAAGAGATCAGTCTAAATAGTGGTAGGATTCTCTGGGAAGTCCGAATTGGACAAGTGCGTAAGTTCAAGTGTTTTACCTAATGTCATATGTGCCACACATAACAGACAGCGGTTGCAACTCAAACCTGCAGCTTTCTCCCTATCCCTAAATACATCTTATACCATACATGATCAATTGTTTTTATATAAGTGAAGCAGGACTTCATTTGCTCTTCTATAGTAAATTTATCATTACTTTTTAGGTGACAAAAATGTAACAAGAAAATATTTTGCCACAAATTTTTTCAAATATCTTCTGCTGAAGAATGCATTCTTCCATAACAGAACATGGCCGATATTTGAGGACTGCTACCTTTTCTTTAAACAGTATGACTATAGATAACATCAATATTCTTTCCATTTCCACCGTGAATAGTATTATAAGAGCAAGTATGAAATAAAATGTTTCATCAAGGTACATTGGCAACATTTCGTTTCATTAAGGAACAATTTCTCGGATATCTGAAGAAATTCTAACTGAGTACTATAACTCGCAACAAGATATGTTGGAGCATTATAAAGGTAAAGTCTTAATAGTAGCACCAACGTAGCAGTTCAAAGAATAAAAGAATTATAGAACTGCGCAACGATCGGATTATACGTCCAAAACAGTTCCACTTAATGACCGATCCAGCAAATGGCTCAGAAATAAACATGGGCCAAGCTATAAGTAATCATCCATTCCCAGAAGCTTAAGCATTTCGTATTCAGCCTAATTACCAGCGAAGAGATGCTTACAATTTAGAGAATTATTAGCAATCAGTAGTCTTATTCTGTGTCTAAAATGTTAGCAATTAATTTTTCCCGCCTTTCTCCAAATGACATTGAGGCTTCCACAATCAAGAATAACCACATTTCAAGTAAGTATTTTTTTCACCTGGTTTAAAGAATATAGACAGCCCAAAATCAATAGCCTTCAAAGGCGAATTCTCTTTCTTATTGGCAAATAAGAAGTTCTCGGGTTTCAAGTCTCTATGAATAACCCCATGCTTGTGACAAAGTTGCACGACTTCCACAATCGTCCGCGTCACCGCGGCAGCCGCTCGCTCCGTATAGTGCCCACGTGCCACAATCCGATCAAACAGCTCACCACCCTCGCACAACTCCATGACCAAATGCACAGCATTGTTGTCTTCATAGGCCTCCTTCAAGCTTACAATGCTGGAACTCGTAGGCAAGTGCTTCATTATGGCCACCTCACGCCTCACATCCTCAACGTCCACTGCCGTCCTAAGCTTCCGCTTGGAAATGCTCTTGCAAGCCAGCAGCTCCCTAGTTTCCCGATCAATACAAAGATAAGTTATCCCAAACTCCCCGCGACCAAGCTCTCGATCCAACAAATACTTATCCTCTATATTCTCCTTCGGCACACCGGTCAAGACGGTGATTGGAGCCTTCTTGCCGGCGTTGGAGTCCCGCTTGCCGTGATCATGGCCGGAGAAGTTTGATTTCACATCTTCCCTAGCTACAGCAGCTGGAGATCTGCAACAATTGCCCATTCCCACCAGCAAGAAGTTGATCCCGTCCCTGATCTTCCGGAACCTCCCCAGCTACCACCACCGGATAGGGTTTCACATGATAATGTGGAAATCCTCACTGGAAGCAAGAGAGGCTTCCTAGCTTCGACTTCTCAGAAACAAAGTGAAATTGAAGACACAGAGATTATGAGAGGACGAGGAAGAAGGAGGAGCTACTGTGACAGTGAAATCAGCTCCAGCTAGAGTCCAACGGCTGAGATGGATGCTTTGCAAGCTGAGAGCTAGTCTTTTCGCTAAATAAAAATTAGTATTAAAATTTTTTTCGGGTGAATAAAATTAGTATTAAATTTTTAAGTTACAAAATGATGATGATGATGATGATAATTTTTGTTTCTCTTTTTAAATTTTAGATATTTTTTATTTTTAATTTGTCGGCTACTGGGAGTTTTTCCTTTCGGCCGTAGAGTTTGTTGGGGTTTATTTGTCTGCTTTGGCAGCCAGGACTATGGAATTGGAATGTATAATTAAATACAAAATGGATGAAGATTATTTTCATGTTTTCATATAAAAATAATTTACTAATAATATGAAATAATAATTTAATAAATATTCTTATCAGGTCGTCAAAATCTCGTTCATATTTAAATTGATTATTATACTAAATAAAAATGAATAAGATGGGAATTAAATGTCAATGGTTACCAATGACACATGTTTTTAAACTAGACACACAAAAATGAGCATAGGAATAAAAAGATAAAGGGAAATCTTACACAGAAAAACGATAAAGGGAAGTCTTACCCCGGGGGGGAGATAAGGGAAAAATATTGTTGAAACAGTTGTAATTCAACAGTATCTTTTATTCATATTATGTTTAGCTTCGTGAATTTCTACCCTTTTTATCCCAATTATTTGATGATGAAGTCCATTTTTTATCATTTTATCTTTTTTTAATTTTTTTAAAAATGATAAAAAATAAAAATTACTAAATGCCAAATGAAAAATGTCAACAAAAATTTGTTATCATTTGCAAATTTAGTGCTATCAACATTAGATAGAATATTGTTACCAAACTTGATTTGAGATTTAATAATTTTTGTCTTCTTTTTTTAATTATTTTCTCAATTTTTTCTCAATTATAAAAATAAGTTATTGTTCTTAACCCCATGCTTTAGATTTGGATGCTGCAGATTTATGCTCTATCAACTTTGAATGCCAAGTAAAAGCAATGAGTTAAAATTAGTGTGGTCACGTTTAGAGGAGCATTGTAATTTGTGAAGATGAGGGGCAGCAACGTAAAGAAGCAAAAGTGGAGGGGTATGGGAGCAAAAGTGTAAAAGAAGAGGGGAACAAGAGGAGAGAAATGGGAAGAGAAGATGCCATGTGCTGTGTCTTTAATATACAAAACCCAAAGGGATGAAACTAAAGGGAGGGCCCTACTTGTCTGTCTTTCTCTGTGTTTGTTTGTGTCCAAAGTCTTATTAATGTCTGCCTCTACCAACCTTATTATTTCTTTCTCTTGTTCCTCAATATTCATCATCATCAATAACTGCTTCTTTTAGAAGCTCCATAAGCTCTCTCTCTATCTAACTTTATCTTCATCATTCGCCCTTCGATCTTATGAGACACAACAAATTATGAGTCAGCCTAACCTTTTTGAACAAGAAATTCTTTACATTGATGGGTCCATTATTGAATGTTTTAACAATTAAGACTAATTATCTAAGTTTGTTTATTAATCCAACATCATTTGATATGCTTTATATATGTGTGCTTTCTTGCAGGTTTACCAAATCTCTCTTAAAAAAAAGAGAGGGAAAAGAACTTTTCACCCAAAAAAGAGAACAGGGAGAGGAAAGAACATGATATTTAAATAGTGAGTATCTTTAATTTGATCAAGAGTTAAGTTCAATTGAGAGAAGAGATGACACTTTTTTTTTTATGAATATATGTCTTGAAATTTTTTCTTGAAGTATTTCAATAAATATGATAGTCATAATACTACAAGATGCTGTGGGAATATGTATTGGTTTTGCATATTTTGTAGGAAAAATTACAATCAAGTCCTACAGAAGAGAAATAATTACCAAAAAGTCATAATAACAACTTTAACAGCCTCTAATGATAAGTTTTACAGTGAGAATGACAATCTCTATAACTTGTTTTTCAATTATTTCCCCTGCTCGGGATCTCATTGTAATTCTTCCTATTTTGTACTCCTCCGGTCCTTATTATAAGACCCAATTTGACTTTTTATTTGGTCCTAATTATAAGACCCAATCCATTTTGTCTCTTATATTTATGCATTTTTTTTCAAGATAATCCTTCTAATAATGATAGTTTAGCCAATATACTTAATTAGCAAGGATATTTTAGGAATGACAACATTTATTTATTATAAATAACCAACTTAACTTATTTCCTTAATCTCCTCAAATAAGTCAATTGGGTCTTATAATTAGGACCGGAGGAGTATTAGGGTATATAACAAGTTGGGATAGATGGTTTGAACAGTAATGATCATTTGATCAATAAGGTTTGTTATGAATAAATTTTTGCTGATGGAATTGGATCTTGAGATTCAAAACACCATAGTCCGCACAATTTAGAGTGTTTGGGAAAGAGGATATGGAAATATATATATATATATATATATACTCCTCCGGTCCTAATTATAAGACCCAATTGACTTATTTGAGGAGATTAAGGAAGTAAGTTAAGTTGGTTATTTATAATAAATAAGTGTTATCATTCCTAAAATATCCTTACTAATTAAGTATATTGGCTAAAACTATCATTATTAGAAGGATTATCTTGAAAAAAATACATAAATATAAGAGACAAAATGGATTGGGGTCTTATAATTAGGACCAAATAAAAAGTCAAATGGGGTCTTATAATAAGGACCAGAGGAGTATATATATTGTTGGATAAGGATGATATGTGATGGGTGTCTCCGAGAGTCCTTATAAAAGTCAACTTATGAATACTTTATTTGAGACTGATGAGTTGTTTTATTTGGATTGGTTGGGATTAACTCTACTATTAGTGTTGATTAAGGCATGTTACTCCAATAATTCTCCTTCCATTTGATCTTCTGCAGCTTGAGTTGGTGAGAACCTCCAGTTTATTTAGAAAGTCGGTTGCTTAGTATTGCTCTTGATTACTAGTGATTTCATTTTGGCAAATCCTTCTTTAGAAAAGAATTTTAAAAAAAAAGGTACTCCCTCCGTTCCTTATTATAAGAGGCATTTGATGCTTATGGTATGTTCCTATATATAAGAGACACTTACAAGTTGTCTCTACTTTTTTGTGTTAATTTACTATTTTACCCATATTTATTATCTCCAACTCACACTCTCTCTCCCTCTCACTTCTCTTTCTTTTAATAATTTAATTGTTCTCTCTCATGCTCTCTCTCCTTATTAATGAGGGCATTTTTGAAAAAAAATTATACTTTTTACACATTAATTGTTCTTAACTAATTTTAACTGTTTTTTTTATCAACGTACTTTGGTTATTTGTCTCTTATAATAAGGAACGGAGGGAGTAGAAAAAGAGGTTTCCCATTTGACTTTTGCTCTGGAAAGGTTTTTTTTTTTCCTTTTCTTAGAGTAAGACAAAATGATATTAAGAAAAAAGTTTTGCTCAGTATAATAGGTTAATGTGCAAATGGAATTATTAAAAAAAATTAAGAAAAGAAGATAAAGATAGAGCTTTAACAGACATATGTAAAAAAATCCTAAAATAATGATGAAATTTCCTACTAAATTATAATAGATAAACGAAAAGGATCAGCTGAGATATGAACGAAAGACTTCTAAACACAGTTGATGGATATATTAGTGTCATGACTCTGAAAAGGCTTCCAGTATTCATCCTTTGTTTCGAAAGGATGATTTGAGATTGATTTCAGCAGGGATATTTGTCTTAATAAGCTTTGTTTGTGGAGGATTAGTGGCAGCATTACTCACAAACCAATGGTAGTGACATGCCTGAGGCCTAGTGCTACGTTGAACTATCTTTTGTTCAGTTTAAAAGGTCGGCTTTTTAAAAAGGAGCAATTAATTAACCACATATTTAATGGTTTTTGAATATTTTTATAGTGACAGGTCACTCTATAGTGGATTCTATGTAAAAGAATCATTGCAAGGTACCCTATTTTGTGCGACTTAGCTTATGCAGATGTTGCTAGTAAGTATTTCCTCCGTTCTTTATTATAATAGACGAATAACTGAATTACGTTAATAAAAAAAACAGTTAAAATTAGTTAAGAACAATCAATATGTAAAAGATATAAATTTTTTTGCCAAAAAGGCTCTTATTAATAAGAAGAGAGAACAATGATAAATTATTCAAAAAAAGAGAAGTGAGAAGGAGAAAAAGTGTGAGTTGGAGACAATAAATATGGGTAAAATAGAAAATCAACATAAAAAATAGAGATAACTTTTAAGTGTCTCTTATATATAGGAACATGTTATAAACATCAAATGTCTCTTATAATAAGGAACGGAGGGAGTAGTCTTTAATTGTGTCGTCCAACTTAGATTGTCCAGCCCCAGGCTTATGCAGATGTTGCTAGTAAGTAGCCTTTAATTGGCTTAGTAAGTTTTTGAGGTTTCAGCAAAAAAAAAGAACTGTTTTAATCATATATATTTATCTAATTCTTAATATGAGATATATTAATTAATTTAATTAGATTAAAAAAATTAGGTTAGTTAATTAATTACAAAATATATGACATGTTTTTCCTAAAACACTATAATTATTTTTCTTAATATCCTCTATTCCTTACTTATTTGATTATGGTTGAGGACTATCTATAGAAATAATTTTAAAAAATTTAATAAATATGAAAAATATGTTTTATATTTAAAATCAAAATTAATTTAATAATTATATTTTATATTAAGAATAAGAGGATGTATTTTAAAATACACGCAATAGACGGGAGTTATGTCTAGTAATCATAATCTGTTTCTGATATAAATATTTGACACGTAGGACTAGTTTTTTTTTTT